GTTCCGGTTCCGGTTCTTATCGGTTCTTACCGGTTCCGGTTTCGGTTACCAACGGTTCTTATCGGTTCCGGTTCCGGTTCCGGTTCCAATCGCTTCCATCGGTTTCGGTTCTAAAACCGGAACCGGTGCAACCCTAAATCCAACTCAAAAAGAAGTTTTTTTAACGATTATGTTTATTGAAAATACCCAGCTCAACAGATAGATCCGGTTTCAGCTGAAAGAAAACCTTTTCGGAAAAGAGTTTCGCGATAGTTAAGAGAATCTTTTGTCGAATTAGTTTTCGATTTTTTTAGAGTAGTGCTAGAGTAACACCCGGTAGGATGATGCATCAAAAATAATATACTTCTATTGTGCATTTCAAAATAAAAGGCAGATTGTCATTTTTCGAATAACATTTGATAGGAATGAGATACAGAGCTGCGGTTTTCACCATTCGAAAGAGCGATGTCTGGGCCATCGATTTGTATAATATTCATTGGGACGAAAGATGCTTTTTCATGGAAAACATTTGATTGACATTTTTTTCTTCTGTATTTTCATTAATTTTTTACGATAATCTCTTCTGAAATTACGCCAAAATGTAGCTAAAATCACCCTTTTTGAACTATAAATTTATCATCATTTTGTCAAAATCTACCTGGAAAAAGAGATCAACGTGGTTAATGAAACATGTGGTAATTTTATAGTGAAAAAAGGGTGATTTCAACTACATTTTGGCGTAATTTGAGAAGAGGTTATAGTGAAAATTAATGAAAATACAGAAGAAAAAAATGTCAATCAAATGTTTTCTATGAAGAAGCATCTTTCGTCGCAATGAATATTATACAAATCGATGGCCCAGACGTCGCTCTTTTGAATGGTGAAAATCGCAGCTCTGTATCTCATTCCTATTAAAAATTATTCGAAAAATGATAACCTGCCTTTTATTTTGAAATGCGCAATAGGACTTGAGCTCCGGTTAGTCATTCAAAAATGTTGGACTTTAATTCAATCGGATATCGATCTTTACTACGTGTTCTTCTTTTGAAACTGAAATGATGAGAAGTGTCGTGATTAGTCCACTCTATTCTATGAACGAAAGTGGTGTGGGTTTTTCTACGAATGCTGTTAGGTTCATATCGAGCATATACATATATATTCCTTTTATCTTGCTAAATCGAATAATCTAGATTGAAATATCACGGGCTACATCCGTACTTATTCTGTACTCAATCATCTGAATCGTGCTCATTATCTTCCACTTAAGCTTAACAACTGGGCTATTCTAAATGCCTCCTTCTGTCATTCTTTGTGGTTCTGTGCCTCTCACTTCAGTTGAGACTGTCTTTTCCACATGTGCATCTATACTTGGACCATTAGCAAGCCGATTGCCCGATGGAGAAGTGGGAGTGCGTCGCGGCTGGATAACATGTAAGTTTCTTTGATGTTATAGTAATCACTGTAGTTGTTTCTATTTAGTCCAACTGGATGTTTTACGTGCCAATCCCGGCTTAGAGATTGTTCCTCCGGAGCTCGGTACCTACGCTGGTCTTTCAAAAGTTCGACTTCGTGATGGTATTACTGCCTCTGAAGTAAGTTTTGGTGAGTTAGGCTACGCCAAAGCTGCCAAAGAATCTTGGGCCATCTTTCAAGAACTGACGACTCAGGGTAAGATTGTTTCCGGAACTCGTTTTCAAGTTTGCATTCCCACGCCGGCAGCCGTTATCGGAGTTTTCTTGGCAGAATGTCAAGATGAAATTGAGCGCTCTTATGAGTCTCGACTCCTTGCAGAACTAAATGAAGTGTTAGACTTTATTCCAAAAGACAAACTTGCCATTCAGTTGGATGTGGCCTGGGAATTTGCAATTTTGGAAGGAATGGTTCCTTCGTGGTTTGGTTCGACCTATGAAGAACAACTGCCTCAAGTCGTTGAGCGACTGGCTCGGCTTGGAAACGCTGTACCAGATGGTGTTGAGCTCGGAGTCCATCTGTGCTATGGTAAATTCTTGGTTTTCATGAATATCATCACCATAATTCAGTCATATTTCTTACAGGTGATGCTGGTCACAAACATTTCAAGGAGCCAGAGGATATGACCAAACTAGCCGATGTTGCGACAGGCTTGATATCTTTGCTACATCGGCCGCTCTCCTATCTTCATCTACCTGTTCCTCGCTCTCGTGACGACGTAGAATATTTTGCTCCTCTTCAACCTGTCATTCCTCTACTCAGATCTCATCAAACACAGCTATTTCTTGGTCTCGTTCATCTTACAGATGGCGAAGCGGGCGCCAAGAAGCGTATCGACGCAGCAGCGAAAATAGTCAAAGGATTCGGCGTTAGCACAGAATGCGGACTCGGTCGTCGACCTGAAGAGCACGTCATCAAACTACTTTCTCTTATGAAAAATGTTAGCAATCTAGTACCACAATGAGGCAGAGATGTGTGCGTTTAAAATTATTCTTACAGTCCTCAATCTTCTTTCAGCTAAATCTTCCAGTTCTATTTGGATCAATTCTTAAACATTATCACTTGTTACTTAGAACTTGATTCTTCTCTTCTTTCAACAACCGTTTCGAAATACATCATAATTCAAATAGAAAGTAATAAATTTCCGCACAAGTAACAATCGCTTTGCCTGAAAATCGGTTAAATCAGCCACAGAATGGAGGCGCATCCTATCCGAATGAACATTACACAGTAATGGAAATCATCATATAAATGAGTTCATCGCTTGTTTAGTTGTAACCTATTTGAGGTATATAATATCGTTTGTTCAACACGTGTTCTATTATAGAACAAACGAGTTTATTTCGTTAGTCGAAACACATATACGCATGAACATTTTTGAGACAGCCGCTCAGGCATTGCCGATTAGAATATCAGCATGATTTAATATCATTCTGTTCGGCTTCTTTTCTATTATGGAACTACATACAATTTAGCTATGACAAGTACCAGTATAAGATGAATATGATTTCCATTATTGAATAACTTATAAGATCTGAAGATATCTCCTTGCGTTGCTGCACTGTACATAAACTTCTAAGATGAGGTTATCTGGCAGAATCGTATCAGTGCATGACTCATAGAAGTTTTTTTTTTCTCAATTCTTTCAAAGTTCTATAGTTTTTCAAACCAAAGTATCGTAATAAGCGCGATTTGGTGTATCAATATTAAGAAGAGCAAAGCGCTTATGACAGATGAACCTATGAATGAAAAAAGTAGTGCAATGAACGCATTACTCACTGTATCTGGTAGTATGGAACTGGTTAAGTATAAAAGTCAATTTGGGGTTTGTCCATAAATATTATAGCTCGTGTCAAGGTTCTCAGGCAGTTCGAAAACTTGAATGTATCGAATAGTGTGCACTCCTGTGCTGGTAAGCGAATCATATCGTAATTACAGTGCAAAAAAGAGTTGATTGCAATAAAAGCTCACCTTCAAACAAGTCATTTGCGAAACTAATCAAAAGCCCAACAGGCTATATCTTCCGTGGGCAAGAAGAAAGAGTAGTTCAAATTGGCTTCCAATTTCGATTAAAACTCTAACTTTTTGTGATAAAGAGATAGAATTCTAAATCCATCTGATTATTCTCTAAGGCGTATAGAAATTGTCAATGGTATCACGAAGCGACGATAATTAGAGAAAGGAACTTCGAATGTGGGTATGGATATATCGAACTTACAAATTCGAGCAGTAAAGTCAACAAAATTGCAGAGTGATCTATTTTGTTTTTATTTTTGTCGGCGAAATTCGATACATCAATGTATCAGATGTTAGCCAAATAGATCGAGTAGTTTATGAAAGATTTTTCTGACACAGCCTCTCTCACTGGATTATTCATGCAAAATCTGAAGTAGGTGATTGTTCATTTGTCAGTTATTCAGACCACTAAGGAAATTGCGAAAAAACATATGCACTGCCTAAAAAACTTATTGTTCACTAAAACCCTCTAAGTTCGTGATGCCGGTTACAAATGTCGACGAATCCTATTGAGATAACTTTCATATCTTTGAACTTGAGCGTGGCTAGGTCCTAGTGCTTCGCGACCAATGTCAACAGCGCGTTGAGCATATTCGACAGCTGATTGATATTCTTCAAGCCCTTCGAATGCCATCGCCATGTTATTATAAGTCGTGGCCAAAGAAGGATGATTAGCTGGCAGAGATTTTAGTTCGATATCGAGTGTTTTTCGATAGAAAGCAACCGCAGTCCAACTGTCTCCCATTGAATCATGCACAGCACCAATGTTGTTGTAGGTGGTAGCCAAAGATGGATGGTTTGATGGGAGAGAATTTTGTTGTATTTCAAGTGTTTTTTTATAAAACAAAAGTGCATTTGTGTAATCTCCCATCGCATCATATACTGCACCGATGCAATTGAAAGTAGTCGCTAATGATGGATGATTTGCAGGAAGAGCTTTCTTTTGAATTTGAAGTGTTTTTTCATAGAAACTAAGAGCTTTCGAGTGGTCTCCAATGTCTCGATGTACGAGACCTATGCAATTGAATGTAGTAGCAAGTGATAAATGGTTTGAAGGAAGAGCCTTTTCTTGGATTTGAAGAGCCATTTCATATAACTTTAGGGCTGTTGAGTAGTCTCCTTTATCTCGATGTACTTCGCCAATATTAATATACGTGGTGGCTAGCGATGCATAATTGGGAACGGATGACTTTTCTTGAAGTTCAAGTGTCTGTTGATAATAAGAGAGGGCTTTTTCCAAATCTCCTTTTTCTTTGTATATGAATCCGAGTTGATGATAAAGATCGGAAATTTGTTGGCAATCGTCGCCTGATGATGCATCGAGTAATGCATTGTAGACTTTTTCAGCCTGATCGAATTCGCCCATCGTAATCATTAAACGACCAAGTCGGTACCATCCTGTCGATCCGGAAGTCTCTTCTCTCATGTGCTCAGTAAGATGTTTCAACTGCTGATCATTGTCACTTGTCAGAGTAAGGGCAACTCGCCAAAGTCGATCCTCGATTTTTTCCATCGTGCCAATACGAAAGACAGTATTCATTGAGAAAAGAACTTCCTTTTCCTTGTCACAAAAGTAACTGATAGTACCCAAGAAAGCAAAAGGAGTCGATGAGGCTGCAGGTTCTATTCGCATTTCAAACAGAATCCCGAACGCATAAGGATTTTCTAGAGCATGTCGTGCGAAACTGAGAGACACTTTTTGATCAGTACTCGTAGAGAGAAAGCTATTAAATGATAAAAGGCCACCTTTACTCTTTTTCATTTTCTCGAATTCATTTTTCACCATTCCTTGACCACGATAAACAGTCAATGGGCCTGATTTATCATTCATTTTAGCATGAAGATTTTGAATTTGTTGATGCAGGTCTCGTATAAAAAATCCCATCTTTATGATCACTTCAATATCTAGTGTTCTCAAAGCTCGATTTAGCATTGAGTAGGTAAAGCATTCACGCGTATACCACCACACAGGTGAATGAAGATTATAAGTTTGATCGAATTCATCAATAACATTCAACTCAACAGAGTTGCCTGAGTACTGAATGCGACAAAATTCCATCAGCTCTCTTTTCTCATTAGTACTATGTTCAATCTCAAGAAGGTTCTCTTTGAGCAACTGCGAGTACATAAATGATTGATCAAGTCGATCTGAAGCCGATTCTGAAAAGTTCACTGTAGAAAGAATGCTAATTGCTATCATGTCATTGTTACACTTTTTAATATCTTTTCTGAGCAAGCTACAAATTGATTCAATCTCGGTAAAGACTCCTTTTACTTTTTTGAATTCTTTTGCCCATATTTCATGCATTGCCTTGTGGCTACAAAAGACATATATTGAATCAAGCTGAGTCATTTGTTCAACTATAGGTACAACTTGTTGACCGAGTTTACCCGACACAACCAAAAAGACTTTTTCATCCTTGATTTTGGCAAGAAAACCAACGCATTCGTGTGAATCAGTAAATGTATTAATCGTATTGACGATAGATCGAAGTCGACTAATCGAATTTTGATAATCTATGCTCGACTCATTCATATTCGAATCCAACCAGATGACGACGAAGTTCTCAATGTTACGAGCTCGTGGATGTCGTTGAAACTTGCCAGCATCTTGTTTGCTATTATTTTCAGTAGTAGATGAAGAAGATATTTTTTTGCCACTGTAAGTCTTTGATACAGTACTGGTCAATGACTTCAAACTTTTACTCGCCATACGTACCAATGATCAACAATGCATGTATCGCTGTAAGATAAAGATAAGAAATAATTTTAAATGTTTTCTCTTGCGTCTGACTTCCTTCGTATTATTCTTTTACTATTGACACAAATACGCGCTTACGGAGCCTCGATTACGAACTACAACATAGCAACGACTCATCATGCTCGAAACTCTGCAGAACTGATAAAAAAGAAATAATGCGACGGTACATTTTCAGCTTTTTTCACGACATACAAGTTTTTAAATAAATGACAATGAAAGTTCTTGTCAATACTTCTTCAAAGTAACTGTGGACAAAAGTTGTGTTTTTTGAGTCTATTATAAATTTATTTTCATTCTCTAAATAGAAACCGCTCATATTGAGCAGTAAGCAAAATGTTTTGTTTGTTGAAGATAGCAACCTCCAGAGAGAGAAACACGCCAACTTGAATTTTGCATTTCTATTTACCGACATCGCATGCGATAAAAAAGTCTTCTACGTCTTATTGTGAATGACGGCTTCTACTTTAGAGACTGACACAAATTTACGCTTTCTCGATATTTGTGAAAAACCTTCCAAAACACTACAGTTACTGCAAGGATATGGTAATAAGCCACTGGTGTCAATAGAAGAAGCAGTAAAACCCTTGTCACAACTTATCCATGATATAGAAACGCTAGCACATCAAGCAAAAGCTAATGTTCGTAATGTCAGCGGGGTTCTTACGACAGATGAATGTGCAGCTATTTATTTATACACGTTAAAATGTGCTGACAGCCTTGGTAGCCTGTATACCTTATTAAATAAAGCACTTTATCTTCACAATCAGGAAAACTTGAAACCGTGGCTTTCTTATCTGAAGTTATTGTTAACTGCATTATTCAAATTACCATCAATACAATGCAGAGTATGGCGAGGAACTCGCCTAGATTTAAGTGCTACCTATAAGAAAGGGGAGTATTTATGTTGGCTGGGATTTAGCTCGTGTGCAAGTTCTATCGAATTGCTTCAGCTCGATCAATATTTGGGAACCTACGGGTCTCGCACTATTTTATCTATCGAATGTTTCAATGGCAAAGCTATCCAATCCTATTCCTATCGACCCAGAGAAGATGAGATATTGCTATTACCATGCACATATTTCGAAATTATTGATCTAGAAAATCAAAGGGACGGTGCAACCATCATTTATTTACGCGAACTAAAGCCTCCACACGTTCTTCTCGAGCCACCATTTCATCAAAGCATTCAGTTACCTACTCCGAAGGTCAAAGTCGATAATATTGCGATGATAGCTGGTAAGATACAATTATGCATCTATCGAGGCTGAGAAGTCGCTGCCTAAAATGAACTTCTATCTCTTGCAACAGTCCTCAGGACTCCATGATACTTTTTTTTGTAAACAGCTCAGCTTGGTCTCATGTGCTTATCTGTAAAACTGTGCAGACCAATCACCCCGAACAAAAACGATGTCTTTTAGTCTCGTTCAAAAAATCGCAAAAGTGGAAATTTTAATCGAAACTCACCTTCACATGACCCTATTCTTCAGTAATCGGTCTGATCAATTGTACACATGCCTAAATGCGATCAAACTGAGCTGTTTACAACAAAGTAGGGTGTCCTTTCTATGATGATTATTATTCTTTTTCAGACGTAATATACAATTTTACAGCTCACAAATCACTTTATAGCGATGAAATTGCGTCTCTATAAAATACAGCGATTGACTATTTCAAATGATTTTTTTGAGTAACTAATGTACTATATAGCCTTAGGAATGTAGGATCCATTATGGAAAGGAACGTAGCTGAGTATTACGATCACCATTGGATAAACTATACAGAATTAAGAGATGCCTTCTCTGAAAGTAAAACCAGACTAGCAGCATCCAGCAACACACAAGTTGGAAAAAAAACTTTCGTGCTATCCTATATATAATTTACATGTAGAACGCGATGGAGCCACTTCAATTACTATGTAATGTATAAATATGTTCTCCACCTGTGCGATCATTCGTGTCTTTGTATAGGAAGTAGTACGTTGAGAGGTCTGTTGCGTCCGAAAGGGAAATATAGGACTTCAAGACTTCATGAGAAATCAGACGACTTCAGCAATAGAGACTTCAAATTTTCAAAAAACTTCAAAAGACTCTAAAATACTTAAAATACTTCAAAATATTTCATCACACTTCACATGACTGCAAAAGACTTCAGCAGACTTCAGAAGTGTTCAAATGACTTTCAAAACTTCATTTTACTTCAAAGCCGAAGGCTCAGCTGTTTTCCTCTCGGTTGTGTCTAAAAAGTGTCACCGAATGTGACAAACATGTCAACATGTCAATCTGTCTTTCATTACCTGTGAGGCGGGCTGTAGATGGGTGTTGGTTCACTTTTGTCATTATATACTTCAACACATTAAAAATCTGTTTCACAAAATTGAGCGCCGATAGCTCTCAACATTAATGGTGCGAACTTTCAAAAAAACGTTCGCTTCTGAAACGAATAATATTTAACCAGAAGTCTGAAAGAAAAAGCTCTATAAAGTTTTCGCATGTATTTCTTAAAAAAGCAGCATGTCATACAATGTCACGATAAATCCAATTCATAATACGGAATATATGTGTAATGTGGATTAATTGTAGCCTAAACAGACTAATAAACTTTCGCTCATGCTGATACTCTTTGAGCCAGTAGGATTCATTTTCTACAACACTGCTTTTGTGTCAGCTATTATTGACGACTGTCTACTTTTATGAATAGCTGCTTCGATCCAAGTAACTCAACAAACGGGTATTGAAGCTACCGAAGCAAAATATCAGTCACAAGACAAATCCGAACACAACGCCGAGAAATGCAAAAGCAAACACACAGCCAAAGAAGTCAATACCAGTAGCAGATGCACACATTTACATCCACGACTTGAATTTTGCAGTGAATCAGGAGTTTATGTGAACCCTAAATCGGCTACAGCTACAGCGATTTGGTATTTCTATTCGCCAAAATACAACAAATGGTTTTGGACACCGTACAAAAACTTTGCAGTCTGGATGTCGATGTCTCAATTAACGGTAACAAAAGGATACTGGACAGGTCAGCAACCAGTGGCGCTTAATATTGAGATAATTAATTATCTCGCAACATATAACCCTATTCCACCACCTTCAGTTGTTCAACTTGGTCGCACAATTGAAGAAAGACTATTGAAATTTTGAAATGGATATCAGCTATTTGATTATAATAAACGAATCAGATAGACTTCTACAAACGATCAGAGTTGAAAGAAATAATTTGAAATCACATAAAGTGAGATAAATTTATTAAACACAGATGCGGTTTCATCAAAAGTACTTTATTCAATCGGATAGGTCGGTTTGATCGAGTTAAATCACTTTTGAGGTGGTTTAGACCAATGTTGAAACGTTGACCTGTTCTAACGGCCATAAGTTAATAATATCCAAGTCTGTCTGTTCGGGATATATTTCGTAAGTCGCTAGGAATGGGGAGTGTATGTGTAAGGCTACTGTTTAGCCCACACCCTCATCCAACAATAACCGCCTGATTATTTTACGAGGACTGGTCTTATGATAGCTTTCGAAACTTATTAGAATGGATAGTTTGTGAAAGTCTGAGTAGACATGATTGTAAATTTCCCTTTTTGGTGCGTAAAAGTTCGGTTCGTTTCTGACTGCTGAGAAGAAAGTGCCCGATTGCTAAATGGCTTTTCAACCAAGATTATATTCAATCGATGAGCACCAGCAAACCGTGAAAGAGCCTACAATAGTTTGAGCGTCGAAGGTTCCATACTTAACATGCCAAATATTTGCTGTATTTTCTTTAATAAAAACGTATGCTCTCGCTAAGCTATCCTCGAGAGTCAACTTTTGAGTTTCGACTTTAAACTTGACCCAGATGTAGCTGGCGACAAAGTTAGTACATAATGCATGTTTTTCACTATCCGGTTGCTTCTATTATGAGGCATCAAGATGAATAAGGCTTAACTGCAAAAAGGCAAACTTCATTCGTATACTCATATCCCACGATAGAAAAAACTGAAAAATCCGAAATTTTGAATAAATAATAGTCTCATTGAGAACAATATCTAGGTAAAGTTTGAAATTGAAGCTCTAATGTTGACTTACAAAGAAACCTTATCAGGACTCTGTATGTCCCATAAAGGTACAGTAAACATTTGATATTTTAGGAATGAAAGTCCAGGGTGAAAACAACGACAGGTTTTTCCATTGCTCGTTAATAATCAGTGAATGAATATACTCTCATTTGAAAAACAGCTGAGCACATGCATAAGCTTCCTCTCAAGAGAGTTAAGCCAGCAAAGAAGCACTTACTTATTCTTTTTGCTCAAATTTTTTCTCGTGCTGCTGTTTTCCAGGTACCGTTTATGACATGCACGGTTAGCCACTATAGGCAAAAGCCAAATGATTCTTTCACTCAGCAATATGCATGGAATTAGATGTGATTCATGACGATTTTGTACAACATTATTCGAACATATTCCATATCGCTTCTTAAATAGTTTTATCTTCTGGAATAGTTCAACTGAACAGCATTAACTTTCTTTTCATCCTGTGACCAAAAATTGGCGTATCTTTTCTAGCACATGACTTGTCTGTAGATAGAGAGAAAAAGCTGACTAATCTAGATACATTCACTTTCGTTATGTGCAGAAACGTTAATGTCAGTAGACAAAGTACTCCTGCATAGCTGCTTTTATTTGCGTTGCTCATGTTTAATAAGAAAAAGAAAAATAGCCCATTTTATCGGTCGTAATCAGTAGGTATTTTTATAGCATCCAAAAAGCAGAAAGTCACTTCCAGGACGAAATGACTTTGAGCCAGCAACTGGTAACAAATATGTCATGATCTTTATGGAGATACAATACAAGCCAATTTTTTAGCGTGTGCTGTGGAAGATCAAAACAAGTAGCGACTATACATTGTATAATATGTCTTGTAGCCCAAAGAATAAAAGCAGATCAGCTTTAGTGAAAAACCGAAAAGCCTATTTGTGCATACAAAGAAACATTATTAGTGGTTGGGATGTAGATGTGGTGGGCATGTACGGCTGCGCGTGTTTGGAGATACGTTGCTATGGATGCATAAAAAACTCACAACCACGTCCACATTCTCCATAAAATTCTAGAACATTTTAGAATAAGTCTCATTTAAAACCATGGTCCACTAGAAGGACAATAATTAAGGTTCTAACCTGTTTCAATACCGATTTTCGATTCGGAATCAATTCAAAAGCTGCTGGAAGCAGTCCAAGTTAGTTATGAAGGAAGTAATTTTTGCCTCCAAGATTATTCCAATAATCGAAATTTTGAAGATTGATCACTATGAGCGACATAATGAACATGTTTAATGGTTGAATGTTATTGACAGTTACATTTATTTCTGAACGAGTCGTGTCGTCAAAGTATGATTCAACGATTCAACACATCAGAAGTATCATTGATAGTAAAAATTATGAAAATCCTACAGGCGTAAATCACCTACTTGTTAAGTATCTTCGTCCGCTTTCAGACCAGTTGCAAACCGGCTTCGATTGCCGCTCATTATCGTCATACCAGCATCGGCTTTAGTTCTCATCGGTTTCAGCTGGCTTTGATTTCGAAGGGTGTGACTGTAGGTGTGCAGATTGGTATGCGTGTGAGCGTGGTTGGAAGTTGGTATGAGTATGGGCACGAATATGAATGTGGGTGGATGTCGTGTGATTGTACATGTACATATGAGTCTATGTAGGTGTAGATATGAGTGTCCACTGCTGAGCACACCCACACTTGTACCAATACCCTCTCCCTACACCCAGCGGTTTTACACAAGACGGCAGAAAATATTAGTATTTGCTTGGAAGTGCCTTGTTTTATATTTGTATTTTGTAGGAGTCACATAAACTTTCGAAGAAAATAGTAAGTATAAGTTTTAAGTCAAGGTTTTGCGAATTTTCCTACCCTTTTCCCCTCTCTATTACAGGTGCTTAACAACGACGCTCCATTACAGACCTTAGTAACTAGGGTAGTTCTGCGTCTCGTTACAGGCTTTAGCAATCGAGAATAACAGACATCAGACTTTCTAGAGTTCTTTTGCAAAATTAGCCAACTTTTGGTTTTGAAAAATAATAGATATCATTGTTTATGAGATGATTAATGTAAGTAATAGTCCGTAAGGCCTGGCTTAGATATCATGAATATGTAAAACAGGTTTATTTGTCAAATTGGTTCAATGATTATGATAATAAGTATGTTAGATTAAGAAAAGCGAATCAAAACAAAATAAAAAGAACGAGCGAGTAGCAACAATGCAAACAAAAAGTAGAACGCATCTAGAAAAAATAAACAATTTCGGTTAGAAGTACAGAAATTAGAAAGATGCTTATTCTGACGTTCAATTATCCTGCAAAACTACTATAGACTACAAGAGATCTTTTATTTTACATATTTTGTATTAGTTTAATCAACCTAAAGAACATATGTGAGTTCCATATTTTAGCCCCAAAGGAGCTGCGCTAACAAACTTGTTAATTTTTTTTTGTTGGTTTTCTTTGTGGCGCACTTTTTAATTAAATATGCATATATAGATGATATTAACGATGAATTTAAATATAATTACATATGTTATCAATCAAAGTTATATTATTGTAACAGCATCTACGTGAATATGCTGATATTGATGCAAACTTACTGATCATTACGTATACATCGACAAGAACAAAGTTTAGTATACATGAGATATTTTTTTGTTAAACTATGCAGAATATTAATCTCAGTAAGAGTCTATTTTAATTCCCTTCGACTAAAAAATCTAAATGTGATCGTCACTTTCAACATGACATATACCTCAGGTTGTTTTTATCGAGTGTTCGTTCATAGAACCGACCGAATTAAATATATCATCTATGTCACCATAGTAAGAAAAGAAAACTTTTACAAGTTGAAATATAAGAACAAAAAGGTAAACATTCAGCTCACGAAGTCTCTTTAATAACGACCAAATCTCTAAAATTAATCAAGTTTATTTTACTACTAAAAAACTAACACAATCTTTTTAATCATTGTTCTTAATTAAATCTGCTGCTCTCTCGGCTATTGCAACTGTTGGAATATTTGTATTGCCCGAAACAATACTTGGCATAATACTTGCATCAACCACACGCAGACCTCGAACACCTTTTACTCGTGTATCAGATGTCACAACTGTCATGGGATCTTCTTCTTTTCCCATTTTACATGTACCAGTCGGATGATAGACTGTAACAGTATACTTCCGAACAAACGATTCCCAAAATTGATCTTCATTTTCTGTTGCTTCATCTCCATTCATTTCTTTTGCCATTGATTTGAGTACACTTTTTAACGGTTCGGTTTGAGCAATTTTTTCAACTAGTTTACATGCCTCAACTAGTTTACGAACATCTTCTTTGTTTTCTAAATAATTTGGATTGATAATTGGATGTACGAGTGGATCACGACTAGCAAGTGTAATATCACCCTTGGATTTTGGATGTAGAAGTGTAGGTAAGTACACAACAGTCCATTGTAATTCATCAGTTAGATGTGGTTTTAAATAATGCTCATAAACTTCTGGTTTAAAGTTAAAATTTTGGAAAAGTTCAGCGTCAACTGTAAATGGGCCGTAATGCATTTGAATATCAGGTACTTGTGTCTCATCTGAAAGAACAAATAGTTAGTGGTGAGAATGTAAACTGCTAGAAAAGAAATTGAATCTATAGTAGAATAATCATTACCATTCATTTGACACCACGCTAGTGACTCAGCAACACATGAAGTTAAGGGGCCTTTTCCTTCAGTTGACCATTTTTGTAAGTTTTCGGGTGTTAAATCACGAGTCGAAAGTGTTGGCATTTGAGTTAGATAGACTAAGACTGTCATCATATGATCTTGTAAATTTTTGCCAACACCAGGCAAGTCAACGATCACAGGTATTTGATGTTTCTGTAATTCTTCACGAGGACCAATTCCAGAGAGAAGAAGTATTTGAGCACTTCCAATTGCACCAGCTGATAGTATAACTTCTTTACCTTTAATAAATTCTTCTTTATCCAATGAGTTACTACGTTTAACAATCACACCTAAAAATATGAGGAGTGTTTCGTTCAAATGTAATATCCAATAGAAACAAAAGTAAATAAAACTTTCTAGAAAATATTTTTCATGGCACTTTTTGAAGCATCATTTACATTGAACATCATAAAAAATGATCAAGACATTTCTTTAAGTCTGACTTGTGAAAATTAACTAGAAAACAAATTCAATTTCTCTAAAACTCACATTACTTTACCTTCTGTTTTGTTGCTATTTACCTTAGATGAAATTTTACTAACAAAGACAAAGACGTGAGAAAAGCTACTAGAGAGGAACTTTATGTTTTCTCTCTTAAAAGACACTTCTACTTTTATACTCACCAGATACTTGTTTTTGTTCATCAACTACTACTCGACAAGCATGTGCATGTATTAGTAAATCAAGATTTTTTCGTTTTACTGCTGTTAAGAGATAACCACTTGCTGTTGACCAACGTTTTCCTCCTTTTGTTGAAATTTGTGACATTGATACACATCCACTAAGACTTTCTTCTGCATTATAATCTTTAGTTTCATGAAATCCATTCTTCTCACATGCTTCAATAAACATTTGATTTGTTGGATTTGTTTCTTCAAGCATTGTTACATCCATCATTCCTTTCTCTTGATCATGATTACGAAAATGCTCATTCTTTGGAATTGTATTCGAATCAGCACGTTCTAATTTTTTAAAATATTTTAACATTTCTTCATAAGACCATTGTGGTAATTGCCAATTGTCATAATCATGTGGATCACCACGAACATATTGCATATAATTTATAGAAGAACAACCACCTAAAACTTTACCACGTGGCCAATTACTTTGTTGGTTAATACAACCAAAGTGTGAATAAAGTTGAGGTATAGTCTTATATTGCCAATCAATATCACCACGTTGACAGTTACCACTAGACACACAAAAATTAGCATGTTTTAGTCTGTGAGTGACCCAATGTCTTCAACTGAAGGAAACAAAATTAGGTTTTCGATGAGGTTTCTGATTTTATTTTGTAACCAAAAAGAAGATTTTCTTTTGCATCCAACGTAAAGCTTTTTAAGAACAGATGTTTTTTGTTAAAAGTGATCACATTATGTGTGATACTCTGATAATTTCAACTTGATAGAGTTGTTACTTACCAAGCAGCTGGCATGTGTATTTCATCTTTTGTATCGGCACCACCAGCTTCAATAAGAAGAACATGTTTATCAGCTTGTTCTGACAGACGATTAGCTAAGACAGCACCAGCTGAACCTGAACCAACAATGATGTAATCATATGTGATGCCATCAGTTTTTGTCTGTGAAAAATCTTGTTCCCATCGTTTTATAACAGCAGGTGATTCACTGACAACTGGTGCAGCAGTTTGCTCCGCAATACTTGTTGTCGACATATTTTGCGCACAAAAAAAGATATAAACTAGATAAAATATAAAAAGGTGAAATATAAAATTACATGTGAAACCACACTTTCTTCAGATGGGTACCGTATTTATCTAGAGCACAGAAAAGAAAAATGATAACATAAAAAAAGAAATATATTTGCTTTAGTCTTCCTGTAAGTATATCTTAAATACATTTGGACTCTTGACACGAAATAAAGTCGGCATGATTCTTAGTCTCTACCCCATACAATATTCTCACTTTTTGAAAGGTTTTTTAAGTGTATGCGCTTCACTCGCAAAGTGCAAGAAATATTGACATAAACAACAAAACATGGAAAAAAAACGGCGGTATAGTACTGACTACTCTTTCTTGCCTATCAAGACCACAGACGTTATATGTATGCGAATATTTTAATACTCATTCGAGTAAATTAAAAAAAAAAGGTCGTTCAATCAGCAGGTACACCCAAACATATACATGCAGCTAGTGAATTTGAAATTTAGCTGAGATTGCAATAGCATTTTATCAATCTTCCAAAAAGAAATACCTTAAACGTGTAAGAAAAAAAGAAAAATTGTTTATACAGTAACTAAGATTTTTTTACAATGAATATAAATTTTTGTTATAATTATTTTGCAAAAAATGGGACCATGGAGACATTGAATGGTTGGCGAATTTTCAGCAATTATTAAATAGAATGTTTCAAGCTAATAATGAATAAAGATTTTCATTCAAGATTCAGAGGTAGATAATAAAATATTAAAATGTTAAATTTTTATATATAGACATTTCATATTTGTTTTTAAACAGTTGAATCTAACGTATGACCAGCAGAAGCAGATTTAGGAGAATTTTTATATGTAAAGGTGTGTTATATCACTGTACGTATTCTAATTATGATATAAAAGCATAATAAATAATTATAAGTACTAATGAAATAGAAATTTAATTTTTTTCTCTAAATCGTGCACTTAATCATATATGACTCATTATGATCCTTACCGAAAAATTTAATATTTAGTTATTGTGATTGAATCGTCCAGATTCAAAAAATACAATACATGAATATTTTCAAAACGATGCATTCAATAGTTCTAAATCAAATAATTATCTTACATTCTAATAATATGAAAACTTCAATACAACAATACACATCAAATATTATACGACTCATCCAATCAAAAAAATATTGAAAATTCAGAAAACTGAAATGCACACAACAAAATTCGTTGGTTTTTATGAGTAAGTTCGAAAAAACTCAAAAGAAAAACTTTTTTGTTATTGTGATTAATGTTAATCTGTTTGATAAATTCTTGTCCAAATGAATTAGTTCACACTGTTAATGAAGCTTTACTCCTATTATAAAATGGTTTTTCTGTAAGCAAACTTTTTTAAAATTATTTTGCACATTCTAGACTCAATTGAATTTTCATGTCGACTCTCACATGTATATCAGCTAATCCTTTTAACACGTTCATATCAGTAGTTAGAGTATGAAGTGATTGTTCCTGAAATCTATTGATTATACCACAGAACGTACAGCGAAAATTATTAAATCACATTTTGCTTCGATAACAAACGCTTGTGTTCTCAGGTTTTGATTAAAAAAAAGATATCACTAACAGATACGAAAGTATTTTTGTATAAGCTCGTCAATTAAACTTATCCACACATTCAAATATCTTAATATATTCAACTGTGCTCAATACTGATTGAGTGTATATACTACTAGTATTTATTGTGATAAAAATACGATTTTTTTTCAAACTATAACTTTTTGAGAATTTAAGCAAAATCAGTGCCCATGCTTTTGATGACGATCGAAATGCGGCGCAATGACGCAAAGTTACGCAAAAACCGATCGTAACTGCGCATAATGACGAAAAAAAATTGTAGTTCTGCACAACAGCGATTTTTTCATCGTAACAAGAGGTATAATGCATACTTTTCGTAAACTATCATAGGTACAAATCTTGTTTTTGGAGAAGAAAATTTGTTTTATAACTAGGGTTGATCAATTGACATTTAAGAAAATTTAATAAATTCAAAAAATTAATTCTTAGAAATTTAAGTTTATTTTAAAAGTAAATTTTGAAAAGTTAAATTTATTTAAATCTAGTTTAAATCAATATAAATTCATTTAATTAGACATAAATCTATTTATATGCGATTTAAATCCATGTAAATTAACCCATATGGGATTTATATTGATTTAAACTTAATTTAAAATGAATTCAACTTTCCAAGGGTGTGGTCTTCTTTTTCGTCACATGCAAGCCTACACGCAGACTCTAGTCAGACTCGGATGACAACAATTCGATCCATGTCTCACATTCGTACCATATTTTTCATTCATTTGGTTAGACTTAGTTGTTTGTGCGCACAGGCCACTGTTGAATAGAGGCCCTTCGATATTCATTAGCTGAAATTTAGAGAATCATTATCCTTGCATATCGATATGGCATACGTCTTTTTTTTCTATATTGTGCCTAGTCGAAGAGAATACAGTGTATTTGCTAACTTCAAGGCTGCAAAAGCCTCTGGAAGACTTCAAGTGACTTTCAAAAACTTCTGCAGGCTTTAAGACACTTCACTAGATTTTATGATATTTTTCTAAAAATCTCCATCGACTTTAAAAAGTTTTCAAAGACTTTAGAAAATCTTATAAGTCTTCAAAACAGAAGTTCAAAGGCTAAACAGCGAATTTAAGGAAGCTGGTAAGACTAAGAACATTTCAAAGATTCGTTGAGACTTAAAAAGACTTATAGAAACTATAATCACAGTTAAAATCTACAATGCTAAGACGTCAAGAAACTTAAAAAGATTCGATAGGACTATAGTAGTCTTCATGAAACTGTCAGACCAAAATCTCTGATGCTCTTCTTCATCCTTTATTCTTATCGATTTCAATACGTACAGCCTTTTCAGCTTATAGTTAAATCACTGGTATAATTCCTTTATATTTTAATATTTCTAATAGAAAAGAACATTTCTTTTTTCATATAGTTCATTTTGAAATAATGATACTTCATTTTTCATTCATTTTAATCGACTAAAAATATTTCTTTTCTTGTAATTCAATTATTAATAGAC